GGCCTCTGCCCTGCCTGCAGGGACGGGTTCTGCCCTGGCCGCGCTTATTTATGGTGGGTTTTGGTGGCCCTCAAGTCGCCGTCCCCCCCCCACGCACACACCCTCCCCTCCCCCCGTACTCCGGCTTTGGGAAAAATGCTGCCAAGGGTGGCACAGCCAGGGGGCTGTTAGGTGCTCTGGCCCCCTCCTTGGGGATCCCAGACCCGCATTAACAGGTGGGTGGTCTCCCTCCTGCCACAGGATCCCCCTGACCAAGTTTCCCTCCATGCGGCGAGTCCTGAACGAGGTGGGGAGTGAGATCCCAGACATGAATGCCATCACCAACCTCATCAAATTCAGGCTGGGCTTCAGTGACGTGGCTGAGCCCACTCCAGAGATCCTGAAGAACTACATGGATGTAAGTAAGCCCGCCTTGCTGACCAGGCCCCAGCACGATGGGGTACACGTCCCGGGGGGGTGGTGAGGTGTGCCAACCTTGCCGTCCAGGAAGGTGAAGGAGGAAGAGATGTTGATCCCCTAGGAGAGATTCATGCACCCCCACAGCTTGGTGGGTGGTTGCCAAATGTTGCTTCCTTCATTGTTAAACTAAAAATAAAAACTAAAAATATTTTTAAAAAGCAAAAGTAGTAATAATAACAACCCACTGCAACTTGAGCAGGAGCTTTGCAGCTTCTGTGACCTGTTTCCCCTTTGTCATTGATTAACAGTTTTAAATAGAAGCTCCCTAGCTTGTGTGGTTCCTAGCACCTTTTTCTGTGTTTGGGCTCCATTTTCTGCAAGACAGGGGCACAAAATCGTGCTCCACTCCTTGGGGCATTGGAACATAAAAGAGAGCATAAGGCAGGAAGAGAGGGCTTGGACTGGGCACCAGTTTGCTGTGGAACTGGGGATGCAGGATCCTTCCACTTGCTGTTCTTCATCTTCTGCGTGGCCTTGGGGAAAAGCTACCCTGAACCTTCTCAAGAGCTTAGGGAGCAAAGACACCTTTGTGATGGAAGCAGCAATAAAAGGAGAAGCCAGATAAAGCATGTTGGGTTTGCCCTTGCCCGGTTCTTGGACACATGGAGCTTCCTGTTTCTGGGTTCTCTTCTGGGAACACTTGTGGCCTTTGGTGGGGATGTGGGTGCTGGGTAGCAGAGTAAAGCTGGTGCCAGATATCTGGACATTAATTCAGGATATTCCCTTCTGCTCCCCTTCTTGTCGCCTAGCCAGTACCATCCTGCCAGGGCTGTGCTGGGAAGGGCCACTGGTGTTTAAATTGTCAGGGCCAAAAGCTGACAGTTAGGGTGCTGGCAGTTGTGCCATAGTGTTGCCTCTTGTGCCTGCGGCTCAGGCTGCTGCTCAGGGAAGGACTCGGTGCCCTTGTCACAGGGGGACCAGCCCAACCCTGCAGCAGGAGATAAGGGACCACTAGGTCCTGCCTGGCCAACAATGTTCTTGCTGCCAGAGGAGCTGTTAGAAAAGGCACAACCTTCCCTAGACTGCCCTGTACGGTCCCCACCAGCCCTTGGGACCCCTTGTGGGTCTACGTGTGTGATTTACAGGGCCCCTTTACCAGAGGTTAATTTTCAGGCTCCAGCAATAATTACAAAATCTCTGGAAGCAAGTGCTGCCTCCCAATTATGGCTAATTGCAATGGATTATTAATTACTCTGTGAGCAATCCCAGTAAAATAAGCGCACAGGAGGTGAACAGCTTTGGTAATCCTGTTTTCTTCCCCTCTCCCTTCCCCCCTTAATTAAGTACATGGGGGGTCTTGGAAAGGCCACTGGCTGACTTCCCTTGCTAGCAAACTTGTTTCCAGGGCTCTGATCCAGCTGCTTGCCAAGCACAATACAGCTTTCTGTGCCTTTGGGAGGGCCGGGTAAGACGGGTCCGTCTGGGACCTGTCAAGCATTCCCCATTCATCCTCTCCCCTCTGGGTAGAGAGATGCCCTAAAAACATCTCGGCCACTCAGGTTTCTTCCAGTTCCAGCAGAGGTGTGCTCACAGCGCAGAGATGTATCCATAGAGAGGTATACCTGTGCTACAGGGACTTCTCCCAGACTCTCACCTCACAGCCCTTAAATACGTCCCTGGCAATGCTGCTGAAGTCCTTTTCTTTTGACATACACAACTGAGCATTTGTTTATTCCTCTCCAACCCATGGGCTCACCAGCTCCCACTGAAAGCCCCAGTAGCTTCACCCTAAGCTGCAGTGAGAAGAGCTCCTCCTTGCTGCTACCTAGTTCCTCTTCAAACCTGCCAGCAAGGGAGCTTCCTGGCCAGTTTCAACTTTTCAATAATGCAAGCAATTTGTCTGGCTTCCTCCCATCTCTTCCCTATAGTGAACTGCAGGCCAGCCTGCAGGCCTTCTCCTTTCTTTTCTGCCCTGTCTCCCTGCCCCGAAAGTCCTCCCCCGCAAGTGCCCATCCTGTTTCTCCTCCCCGATTTATGCTTTTGCCACCCACTGAAAGGAGGTGTGGACAACAAAGGGGAGCCTCCCTTCCAGAGAACAAGGGCTGGGAGTCTGTCCCCGCCAAAAATGAGAGAAGAGCAGTCTAGATAAGGAGCTGGTGCCCTTTTTCAGTCCTAAGAGATGTTTTTGTCTTTGATCCCTGCGTTTAGCCAGCCACCTCTGCTCACAGCTCCCTTCTCCTCCTTTGCAGGCCCAGTATTATGGTGAGATCGGCATTGGGACCCCCCCACAAATGTTCACTGTGGTCTTTGACACTGGCTCCTCCAACCTCTGGGTGCCATCTGTGCACTGTCACCTCTTGGACATCGCCTGCAGTAAGTGTCACTAGTGCCAGCCATGGCTCAGCGGCTTCTATTTCCCTGCAAAATGCAGATCCTGGCATTGCAAGAGGAGAAACTGAGGCAACAGCATGAAAGAGCTTGCCATAGGCTGGTGGGATTTTTAGAACCAGAGTTGGAAGTAGGATCCCAACCTCCTGTATATGGTCTTCACTACTCCTTTCCTGTTTTTTTTCCCTCTGCATTGCCCACACACAGCTTCAAACCTTCCCCAACTGCTTTGACCATGCAGCCAAGGAGCAGCATCACAGGTTGTGATGTTTCTTCCCCAATTATAGACTGACACTGCTGTTTGCCCCATTGCGCAAGGCTGGTGAAAAAAAATCAGCCTCTTGCCAGATCTGATACAAACTGTCCTAGTTTCTGGTTTATTGCTGTGTGGGGCATGCGTGTGCATGTTTATGGATTTATAATTAACAAGAGCCAGGTAGACGTGATGAGATAATATCCTGGGGACTACACGTGTTTTTTTTTTCTCTCTGACATTCCTATGGATGTTGGAGGTGCCAACCCTGTCTATGGCAAAATGCCATCCAAAACCCTCTGGCTGTGCTGCTTAAGCAGAGCAGAGAAACCTGTGGAGCCAAAAAATGCAACTGTGAAAGGTGGCCCACAGTGCTCGTTGGTAGGGAGGAAATTTGGGCTTCTTATACAGCCTTCTAGTGCACAGAGAGATGGACCTTCTTCTTGCATGTGAAATGAGATTTAGGACACCAGTAGAGTGGTGAGGTCTAGGCTTGATTTGTCCTGAGGACCTCTAACAGGCAGCTGATTTCCCAAGGCAGTGATGTGGGACTTGCTGGACCTGAAGGACTCATTTTACAAGCATTCAATGAGCCTAACCTCCTGCCAGGTTGGGATCCAGACTGCTCTGCCAGGGAAGTCCCAGTATAGCATGTTAGTTTCTGTAGGGCTCAGCTGATTTGTCCTCAGCTGGTGTCTACCTCACTCAATAAGCAGCCGTGGAGCTGTGCTGATTGAGCTTGCCATGTGCTGCTGCCCAACTCGTGACTCAGGAGGAATCTGCCCAGCCATAGAACCTTACAGTTCCCAACCCTTCCAAGGGGAAAAGCAGCTTGGACTAGGGCAAAGCCCTTCTTCTCTGCAAATAAAATAATATTTTGAGCCCTCTTGGTGCAAAAACAGTAACCATTCATGCCCAGAGCTGGTTGTATTTAAAGCCACCTTGGTTCTCCATGGCATGAGGGGGAAGTTTCGCTTTGCTGTCTGATGGACTCTGACACACCAGCCACGTAGTCTCTAGGCTCTTAATACCTGGTGGCCAAATCCGATTTAACAGCCAAATTGGATCTACCTACCTAATTCCCCAGACATTAGAAATGCTTTATTAAGCAGTCTGGGCTTGGCAAATGCCGGTTTCAGGCTCATCTTCACATTGTTGATTTTTTGTATGGATGAGATATGCAGTGTGGAGTTAAGTGTTGGGGAGCCCTCAGAATCAAGGAGCACTGATGTATCTTTCCATGTGTCCCCCTCTCTGGCTGCAGTGCTGCACCACAAGTACGATTCCTCCAAATCCAGCACCTACGTGGAGAACGGTACCGAGTTTGCCATCCACTATGGGACAGGGAGCCTCTCTGGATACCTCAGCCAGGACACTGTCACGGTGAGTAACAACTGCCCTTGCCCTGAGCTGCCCTGGCATGCTTTCAGCAGAGTGCTTTAAGCTATTTGATTTCAACAAGTTGTACTTCTCCAGTGTCCTATTCCTATCAACTATGCTTCAGTACCATGTTTCCAAGTGCTTTGGTACAAGGTGGTGGTGATGTGGTGAAGGTAATGTTGACCAAGACAGGCAGAGAAGGGGAAAGGTATTAATCAGCAGGCTAGGAGTGTGTACCATGTGCATGGTGCCCTGCAAACATGGTCTCTGGCCATCCCTCCAACCCTCTTCCCCCTGAGCCCAGAAATTTTCCAGCCCAAGGACACGTCAGCACCACTGTGCAGGCTGCTGGTGGTGCCCATCTGGTTCCTGGCTGATACCCATGCTGCAGTAGAAGGGCAGCTGCCCAGATACCCCATCCTGGTCTGGTGATGAGAACAGTGCTTCAGTTTGCAAAGGTTGTGTAATGCCTGTGGAGGGTTCCCCAGCATCATTCAGGGCCCAGCTTGAGGTAGTAGAAATTGCTGGTGACTGCTTCCCATCATGTCCTATTAAGTGAGCAAAGGCTGAGCTGTCTGTCCGTGAGCACCTTTCACGACTGCCTCCCACGTTTAGATGCTTGTGAGAGTTTTCCAGCTGCTGACAATCACTGGCACATGTGTTCCCAGATTACTTGGTCTCCTGGCAAAGGATAAGGGCATATGTTTGCTTCATGGGGGGAAGTGAGTTGGCAAAGCTTTGAATCAACACACAAATCAGGGGAATTGGGATTTTCCATGTTAGGTTCAGCTGGAAAGTATTGGCTTACTTATTTAATCGGGATTAAAAGAAAAATATCCAAGAATAGCTCGAAGTGGGTAGCTCATGCAAGGGGTACTCTTTAGCCTGTCCTTCTGGCAGGAAAATTTCAGGCTTGCTTGGAAGCACCGTGCCGTTGCCTCTGTGCTTCATCCAAACATGCTATCAGCTCAGGCTGGGTGCAGGACCCTCTTTCGGGGTGGGGGCTTTTGATGGGCTTGGTGAACCCTGACAATGAATGTGCCATTGCACATCTGGTTGTGTCCTCTGCCTCCTGCACCCACTGAGCTTCGGGACTGTTTCAGTTTTGTTTAATGCCATCCATTTCCTGCATCCCTCGGTTTGCTTAGAAGCACCCCATCTTCTTGCTGTTCTTGCCAAATGCAGGCACCCAGCACGTAGCATTAATGGGTTCTCTTACATTAGTTTTGCAAAATACAGATGGAGCTGGCAGAAGTGTCTGCATTCATCCCAGTAATGGAGCAGGGCAGTGAAGCAAACAGTGAACTTCTATTGTCCTGTGAAAGTGTGGGCTGGTTTAGGCACTTTCTGGCTTAATGCTGAGGCTGAAGTGAGTCAGAAGGGAATGTGGAATGTGCAGCTTTTTTTTGTTTGTTTGTAATTATGACCCTGAAACCTGCTTGTTAATTAGCTCTCTACTTTCTGGCAGCTCAGAGGAAGAATTTTGTGCCTGAGGTTGTTCAGGAAGTGGGGATGGCTCTTGACAACAAGCATGGCTTGTAGCATTTAGTTTCAGTCTGGGTGGAAGAAAGGTACATCTCTTGCATGGAGCCTGAGCTGTGTCACAGTTGCAGTACACAGAAGGGGGGGCACAACTCAGTGGGTTAAGGACCTTCAGCTTGGACACCAAGATGTGTCCTCTGATGCACAACATCCCATAGGCAAGCTCCCAGTTGGGTGTAGTCTGGAAATAGACATTGAAACAGCCTTCAGAGTGACCCTCTCTGTTCCAGCTGTCCCAATGGGTAGAAACAGCCACAGACGCCTCTGATAGCACTGACATCTGAATGAAAAATGCTGGTTAGCAGGTGGTCCAGAGTCCTTCAGCCCTGAATGATTTTTTTCTTTTTTGAGTGACGAACTCAATTTGAACATCCTCTCTCCTTCTGCAAAGGGGCAATGCCTCAGTACACCACACACCTTGATGCTGCTCACATTCCAAAGAGCAGCAGGTTCAGCCAGCCCTCTACTGCTCAGGCATCTCAGCCTTTTACCACAGCCTGACCTTGGGATGTCCTTCAAGGACAGCAGAGGAATCATCACTGGCCACAGAGCAGAAGGTCTCTCCTGGGGTTGCTGTGCAGGTACAAGGTGCAGGAGATGCCATTCCCTGCCTCTCCCATGTGTTGCTGCAGAGGGGGTCCCTGAGCCCTGTGCCGCGGAGGCTCTTTCCTCCAGTCTGCCTTTGCTATCTGGCCCTCAGTTGTTCAGCTGAGGCTGCTAACAAGGAGGCTGGGTGAGGTTCTGGGTGCTGACACCCATCTTGCCAAGTGCTGGAGGGTGGCCACCACACAGCAATCCACTAGTAATGGTTTTTTTGGTCACTCCATGTCTGGATGAGAGCCAGCCAAGGGATGGAGAGAGAAAAAGGATCTGTCACTTGGTGCCAGGGCTCTGCTAAAGATGCTTTTGAGTTTGTCTTGCTGAGGACCAAGCACAGGCAGGGTCTGCAGAGACCCCCACCTCATGGCAGATACCTGCCTCCTTCTTGGGATGTGCAACTGGGCTCAAAGCTGGTGCTCAGTTTTATCAGTCTGTTGCATTTTTATTTTTAAGTGGAAGCTTCATTGAACTTTCTGAGCTGCTGCAGGATGAGCAGTGCTCAGTGGTGGAGCTGTGGCTTCCATAACCCTGCAGCAAACAGCTGTGGCTGCTCCCCATGAGCTGTGTTGCTGTGAGCTGTTTAGTCCCACATTCTGCTTTTAGCTTTTGCAAGGCTCGATCACCCTTTTCTAGCACGAGCATTTGATACCATTAAAGCCAAGCCGCCCATCCTAGCTTTGCACTGTCTAACCCTGGGGGGATATTAGTAATTTACATGGATCATTATCTGCCGTCAGGTAGGAGAGGCCAGCTTTTTAGTCCAGCCTGATTCACTATCAGGGCTGCTAGGTGCAGGCTGAGAAGCTTGAATTTGCCTAGGTTGCTAAAATTGCCCACGGTTAGCCAGAAGCTTGAAAACTTCCTGAACTGCTGAAGTCAGGAGCCAACAGATGTGTTCTGCTACCTGTCAGCAGAGCCATCCTGCTTTCTATGATCCCCTTTCTGAGGATCTGCATTTGCAGGGCGTTTTAGCTTTCCAGTGGGGAATGCCCATCCTTCTTGTGGCTGGCAGGAGAGGTGACCTTTGCATTCGTAGTTCTCTGCTTGTTATTTTCATGCTTCAGGCTCAACCTCACTTTCCTGGTGGGGTCTTCTTCCCTCCCGTGGAAGGTCTTTCCAGGCTAGACAGTCATCTGGGAGATGCAGTGATATCCTGAGGATGTTTCTTAGGTAGGGGAGATCACAGGGGTTGTTGGCAGAGGTGTAGGGATTTGTGCTCCCAGCTGGGCTTGAGTACAGCACCAAAGGAGATAGGACACAGAGAAGACTTAGAATATATCTAGGCTGGGGAAGAGGATTAAAGGCATAGCACAAGAACCTTTCAGACTGAAAAGAAAGGATGAAGTAGGCAATAGGGAAAGGGATATGGGGTGACAAAATGATACAAGGCCCTCTGTGCAAAGAGAAGCTGCAAAATGGCATGGCCAGTGCTGGGACCCAGCAAAAAAGGCTGAAAGTGCTGAAGGAGGTGGGCAAAGAGCAAAGGGGGGCTCCTGCCTGTAGGGGTGTGCTGGTCTTTGCAGGGGCTCAGGAGCTGCTACTGTGCAGCCAGAGTGGCCTGCCCCACCCCTGAGGAGAGTGTCACCAGGGTATCTGGTTTCTGCAGCTGCCTTCTAATGCAAATGTGAAAGCAGGCAGCAGTGTGGCAGCACATTGAGGGATTGTTCTACAGCCAGTGTTCACTGAGATCCTGGTCCTGTAAGTCAATTTTCTTTATAATCTTTTCCCTCCCTATCTTGCTTAGCTTGGTGACTTGAAAATCCAGAACCAGATCTTCGCAGAGGCCGTGAAGCAGCCAGGCATCACATTCATTGCTGCCAAGTTTGATGGCATCCTGGGCATGGCATTCCCAAGGATTTCTGTGGACCACGTCACCCCTTTCTTTGATAACATCATGAACCAGAAGCTGATAGAGAAAAATATCTTCTCCTTCTACCTGAACAGGTAGTGTTTGGTTTGGTGGCACACCTCTGGCAAGCCCAGCCAAGCATTTCTTTGTGCTCCCAGCAGCACCTCTTGCTCTGTACCGGTTTATGCCCTCACCAGCATTGCTGAGGAGATCTCAGCAAAGCCTCCTTGCTGGAGCAATCAGGCCAAAAATCTCTCCTGTTTACTGCTTTGAAGTAAGAAGGGAAGAAATGCAGTCATTTTACTGATAAAAAGCTGGGTAGATTGGCTACCAGATTTCTTAGCTCATGTAGAGAAAGAGGATGTGTCCAGAGGAAAGAGAAATAAAAATAAACAGGGTTGTGATCATAAGATCATGAGATTGCACCCTGCTAGTGCAGTCCCTGTTAGGTGGGTAAACACAGCCCCAGTCTTGGCAAAATTCAGGAGCCACGTGGCCACCACTGTGTCCAGTTGTGAGCAACCATGCCCACCACCAGCCATTGCTAATGTTGGGGCTCACACTTCCTCAACCCCTGGGAAATCCTCCGATGTGACTCCTTGGATCTACCCACGCACTGCTGTTCTCCCCAGGACACCCCATACTCCTCCTGGCACCACAGGGGAGACTCTGAACTACTTCAGCCCAAAAAAGTAGCACACCAGGAGCAGGGAGGGCAGAGAGCACTGCTGCTGGCAGCTCGAGCACCAGCCCTCCCCCATCGCTGTGTTTCTTCCCATCTGCTCAGCAGCAAGTTTTTAGCTGACGGTAACCTTGAGGATTTGGCTCAGAGGCCACTGGCTGGTGTGGAGTCAGGTGCAGATAACCTAATGCTTCATCAGCTGTGCCCCCCTGCACATGTGCTTCTTACAGTCTGATTATTTGGGGGATCCCTGCACCGGTGCTCAGTTCCCCATTGCTGTTTCAAGTGTCCATGTGAAAGCATGAGGCAAAAAGCTGCAGATGTTTTCCCAGGGCCAAAGTGTTCTCATTTCCCCACCCCAGCCATCTCATAGTATCTGTCCTTGCCCTGATACATTATAGCACAATGTAAGTCTCTGTCTCCACTGTTGCTAATGCTGTGCTTCACCCACAGCATGTGATCTGGGGACACACAGAGGGGTTTATTCTTACCCTGCCCCTAACTTTCATGGGTTTGGGTTTGTTTTTTTCCAGAGACCCCACCGCTCAGCCTGGTGGTGAGCTGCTCCTGGGAGGGACTGATCCCAAATATTACAGCGGTGACCTCAGCTGGGTCAATGTCACACGCAAGGCCTACTGGCAGATCCACATGGATGGGTAAGTCTCCCTTCCACCTAAGTACATGTGTGAGGACACATGTGCAGACAGCTCACACTCAGGGTTGGGTTAAGACCATCATTGAAAGGGAATCATCCTCTATCCCTGCAACACATCTATGCCAAAAAAAAGTGCAGATTAAAATCCCATGCTAAGGCTGGGTCATTTGTTGCTGGAAGGGGAGGAGAGGCCGAGAACAGCAGCACATGTTCTGCAAAATTCTTCCCTCTTGTTTACAGTTTGGCCCTTGAAAATGCCTGCTACACCCTTGCAAAGTGGGGAAAAAAAGCTTGCCTATCCTCCTTGCAGGCAGCATGAGCCTCACAGATTAAAACTTGATGTTGCTCAGCTCTCAGCGAGGCCTGAGCTGTGTGGCTCACTTGCAGAAAGCTCCAGAGGAGCAGGATGAGGCCCCAGGAAGCCAGCCCTTGACTGAAGGGCATGGTGCTGCAATCAGTGCACATTGTTGGAGGCAGAGGGGAGGAGAGCGGGCTGAGCTGCCTGCCCATCAGCCCTGCAGTCTATTCTGAGCTCTCCCACGTGATGGGAACTTAAAAGCAGCCTGTGATCAGAGTGTGTCCTTTTCCTGGGGATCACATCCCTCCCCAGTGCAGGGTTTCAATTCTCATCTTCCCCCAGCCCTGCTGTGTTGGCAAAGTGTGGCAGACCCTAGTCTGGAAGGCTTTGTCTGTCTGTGCAGCTGTGAAATGCAATGCAGGTGAGGAAGCCTAAGCAGCTTTCCTTGCCCACAACGCCCTCTGCCATCAAACTGCCCCTTTAACCCTTTTTGCAGAAGCAAGGTCCACAGGCAGCAGTCTGGGCTGCCTACAGAAATGCAGTAACCCACCAAGGCACCCACTCTACTGGGAGCAGGTGAGTGCCCTGCAGGGAGCCAGGGGGTCTGTGCACTAAGTTGGTGCTGCATCAGGATTCTGAGTGCCTGTCCTTCCTGGGTGTCTGTCACAGCCCTCCCTTGCATGCCGACATGCTGCCCAGGCTCAGCTCTTCATTTCTTTGCCTGCTCCTGTCTTCACTGGGAGGCTTCTAAGGGTTGTCTTGTGTCTGGTCATCTCTTCCCAGGTTGGATGTTGCCAACGGCCTGACTCTGTGCAAAGGGGGCTGTGAGGCCATTGTGGACACAGGAACATCACTCATCACTGGCCCCACCAAGGAAGTGAAGGAGCTGCAGAAGGCCATTGGTGCAAAACCACTCATCAAAGGCCAGGTGAGGCTGGGCTGAGGAAGCAGGAGTCCATGATCATTGTGGCATCTGTACTGATGCCCTGCTTTACACCCAGATGCTTCTAGATATCTGTGTTCAGTTCCCTCTGCTCTCAGTTCCCAGCCTGTGTTCCTGGAAAAGCACTGGCATAGCTGGGACTCCTCCATCTTTTGACCCTGGGTAGTGCTCAACACCCTGCTCATACTCCCAGTAAAGAGCACAAGTGCTCATGCTCTCAGTAGAGAGCACAAGTCCAGTGAACTTAGGATGCTTTTGGTCATCTCTGCCACCCATCTTGGGAAGCAGAGAAGGGGTGCAAGTTGCAGTGGAGGGCAAGTTGCAGTGGAGGGCAAGGATCCATATTCACGTAAGTCCAGAGGCACTTCAAATATATTTAATTCAAATTACAGCCCTTCCCTATCAAGTTTTTAACCATTTTAACAAATCTCACAAGGTCATCTCTTCTCCCTGAAAGTGTGGAGGAGCAGGGATTATGAGAATCCTCTAGGAAGTATGCTCTGCTCTGAAACCCCTCTGAGATTATGTGAGCACTTCTAGGCTTTTAATGCAGTGTGGGCAAAACCCACACTGCAGCAACAACTGGCTTAGACCTGCCACCTTTCCCAAGACTTGCCACTCTTAATTAAACCAGCTTTGTCCATTCACCACACTGTGAGTCCCAGTCTGTGCCTCTAGGATGTATTAAGCCATGTCTCCCTCTCCTGTGGTAGAAGTACCCTGCTGTGTCAGGTGCAGGACTCAGCAGAGCCAAAAGCTGAACCCAGCATCCTTTGGCTCCATCCCTAAAACCCTCTGGCTCCTCAGCTTGCAACCCTGGGCAGGAAGCAGTTCACTTAGGCAGCTTGAGCCTCTTTTGCACCCTGAGATAAGCAGTTCTTAGGGAAGACCCCAGTAAAGGTGTGGTTGTGTCTGGGGTCAGATCATGCCCTTTCCTGACAGTGTGGGAGCTGCAAACTAAATCTGAAGCCTTTACTGTTTCTGTTTCAGTATGTGATCGCCTGTGATCAGGTGCCGTCTCTGCCTGTGGTCACACTAACACTAGGAGGGAAGCCCTACCAACTGACTGGAGAGCAGTATGTCTTCAAGGTGTGTCCAGGCAGCTTTTGCAAGCCTTACACTTCTGCATCAGGGCCTAACTTTTGCCTTCTTCAGTCAAACCTCAACCACAACATCCAAAATGCAAGAGCAGCAAAAGCAAGCCTGGAGCTGGCACTTGAGGAAAAAGTCTGAAAGGTTGGGGTGACAGGGTGGTGGCACTGGCTGATGAAGCTAGGCGACCTGACCAAAGGCCTGCAGGTGCAAACCCCCTGCATAATGCTCATGAGGGATAGCAGGGTGGGAGAGAAAGGGCAGACAGGCCATTGCACCTCTTTCTACAAGCATTTTGCACATTTCTGCTGAAAAAAAGCCACCCATCTTGGGAAGCAGAGAAGGGGTGCAAGTTGCAGTGGAGGGCAAGTTGCAGTGGAGGGCAAGGATCCATATTCACGTAAGTCCAGAGGCACTTCAAATATATTTAATTCAAATTACAGCCCTTCCCTATCAAGTTTTTAACCATTTTAACAAATCTCACAAGGTCATCTCTTCTCCCTGAAAGTGTGGAGGAGCAGGGATTATGAGAATCCTCTAGGAAGTATGCTCTGCTCTGAAACCCCTCTGAGATTATGTGAGCACTTCTAGGCTTTTAATGCAGTGTGGGCAAAACCCACACTGCAGCAACAACTGGCTTAGACCTGCCACCTTTCCCAAGACTTGCCACTCTTAATTAAACCAGCTTTGTCCATTCACCACACTGTGAGTCCCAGTCTGTGCCTCTAGGATGTATTAAGCCATGTCTCCCTCTCCTGTGGTAGAAGTACCCTGCTGTGTCAGGTGCAGGACTCAGCAGAGCCAAAAGCTGAACCCAGCATCCTTTGGCTCCATCCCTAAAACCCTCTGGCTCCTCAGCTTGCAACCCTGGGCAGGAAGCAGTTCACTTAGGCAGCTTGAGCCTCTTTTGCACCCTGAGATAAGCAGTTCTTAGGGAAGACCCCAGTAAAGGTGTGGTTGTGTCTGGGGTCAGATCATGCCCTTTCCTGACAGTGTGGGAGCTGCAAACTAAATCTGAAGCCTTTACTGTTTCTGTTTCAGTATGTGATCGCCTGTGATCAGGTGCCGTCTCTGCCTGTGGTCACACTAACACTAGGAGGGAAGCCCTACCAACTGACTGGAGAGCAGTATGTCTTCAAGGTGTGTCCAGGCAGCTTTTGCAAGCCTTACACTTCTGCATCAGGGCCTAACTTTTGCCTTCTTCAGTCAAACCTCAACCACAACATCCAAAATGCAAGAGCAGCAAAAGCAAGGCTGGAGCTGGCACTTGAGGAAAAAGTCTGAAAGGTTGGGGTGACAGGGTGGTGGCACTGGCTGATGAAGCTAGGCGACCTGACCAAAGGCCTGCAGGTGCAAACCCCCTGCATAATGCTCATGAGGGATAGCAGGGTGGGAGAGAAAGGGCAGGCAGGCCATTGCACCTCTTTCTACAAGCATTTTGCACATTTCTGCTGAAAAAAAAAAAGCCACAAGGCCAGTCTTGTCGTGGCAAAGGCCACTAGGCTGGCATTTAATCCATCAGAATCAAACTTGCAGGGACAGTCTTGTGCAGAATTTCAACAACTGATCTAATTCAGAGTTGTGTGGGCTGAGAGGTTTATGGGTATGTGCAGTGTAAGGGAGGGTGGGAATCTGGGTTTGGGGCTATGGCAGCAGAAAGTTGGGAATTACTTCTGCAAGCGATGGATCTCAGACTGGGAGAAGCTGTAGCTCAACTGGTCGTGGCAGGTATTATTGCTGAGCCTGTGAGGTTGAGGGAAGGGGAGGACCTCCTTGGACTGAAGCTTTCACTCTTCTTTCTAGATTACTGTGTCAGGAGAGACCATCTGCATGAGCGGTTTTTCAGGCCTGGACATTCCACCCCCAGGGGGCCCCCTCTGGATCCTGGGAGATGTCTTCATTGGCCCCTACTACACCGTCTTTGATCGTGATAATGACTCTGTTGGCTTTGCCAAATGCGTCTAAGCGCCTAACCCCACTGCCTCTCCCACACGCACTTACACACATGCACAGGAGCTGTAGAGAAAGATTATCAGGATTAGAAACCCAGTGAGTGGAAAGGAAGGAAAAGAAAAAGAAATGGAACTAAGTTTAAAATTACATGGAAAATAGTCCTTAGTGCCCTGCTAGCTACTTGTCCCCCTCTGTTGCATAGGTGGTGCTGGGAGGACTCTAGTTGACAACTCCAGCTGGAGTGGCCCCTTGCTTTACTCCTAGGTCTTTGTCTTTAAGAATTATTCTCAGAACTGAACAAGACCCTCTTGTGTCTCCTAGCTCTGCTCTCCTTCCTGAGGGAACAGCTGGCTGGAGACAGTTCCTGGCACCTCTGTTCCTGCAGAGAGGTTGTGCAACTGCTCTTGGGTTTGGGCTTCTAGTCTCGAGGAGAGGGTCAGGGAAGGCTGCCCAGCACATTATTTACTTCTTGCTTTTTCTCTGATGAAGTGGGTGAGTGGGATGTGAGGGAGAGTCTGTCTTTTTCACCCCTCCACAATGGGTTGAGGCAGCAACCACTCAGTCATTTCTCAATGGATTTGTGCTGGCTTGGTCCTAGGAGAGCACGTCCCAGGCTGGAACAATGGGGGATTGCCTAAGGGTTGAGTTACAGAGCCCCAGGGCTTTGGTGGTGTGTTTTTGTGTTGCAATGTCACTAGTGGGAGAACTGGAGGCATGATGTTGGTGTGCCTGACAAGGCATAGGGAGGCTCCAGCCAGTGGGACTCTTCAGAGAGTGAGAATGTAAAGGGGTCAGGATAGCATTTAATAGAGGTCACCTCAGTTCGTGGCCAGGAAGGCCTGGCTTTTTTGCTGAGTAAAGTCACTTGACAGGTTCTTTCGAGTTCGGTGAACTTCTCCCAGGTTCCCCAAACCACCAATCTTCCCAGCTTCATTTGTAGCCAGTGAGTTGAAAGTAATGTTTCCTAAAGCAAGTAAGTGATCTACAAGCTGAAATCATGCTGATAAAATCTGTAGGTGTTTTTCAGCCATGTAAGGCCTTTTGGAAACGTTCACAGTGTTTTTATCTTCTCACAACTCAAGAGACAGTTCTCAGAGACAGCAAGTTTCCCAAGCTGGAGGATGCCATGGCAGATGCTGGACTTGCATTCACTTCCCTGCTGCCCTGTCCTGAAATCCAGCTCCCTTTAACACTTTCCTTATCTGCTTTCCACCTTACTAACTCTGGTGAGAGCTGTTCACATTCACTCTGTGTTGCACAGTCCTGCTTCAGAGAGGTTGTAGCTGATTTAGCTGTGCTCACAGATCGTCCCGCAAAGCCAAGGTGTGCACATGTGGAGCTGCTCACTTCAGTGGGCTGGTCTCAGTAGGCAAACACTGGTGGAGCTGGGAGGGTGATAAAGTGAGGTTTAAGCAGTACTGGAAAGCAGAAGGGAGTCTGCCAAGAACCCCAGCCTATGCTGGGGATAAATGACTCTTTGCTTTCCCAGTACACTGGATGAGGTCCTGAAGTTAGGGAGTGGCAGCAGGTAGGGGGAAACCTGAGGGTGATAAGAAGACCAGGTCAGCACCAACTGTGACCCAGACCAGACAAAGCAGATGGTAAAATCCTGGCTCCCCAAAATTCTCTAATAATCCTGCTAGCAGGTACCAGAAAGATCCTCAGTCAGTGGATGAATAGATGGTTATGCCCTGTGAAATGCATATATATCATCCCCAGAGTTGAATTTGCCACAATCATCAGATGCATATGTGGGAAGGAGGTCCCGAGGTGAGCTGTGGGAGGACAGTGAGCACGTGGCCTCACACTTCAGAGGGGTCTGGCCTGAGCAGTGGGGACAGGCCTGGGAACGCTTCTTGTGGGTGTATTGTCCCTGCAACTCTGGATGTGATAAATGCTACTCCCAAAGCTTGCTTCTTCCTGCTTGTAGTCTTCACCTACAACCCTGCATCTGGACACCCAAGGACATCTGTTGCAGCCTGGCAAGAGAACAGGTTGTTACAAAAAAAAAAAATAATCAGTAGGTATTCCCAAAATGAGCAGATATTCTAGCACCACTCCAGAGAGACCTGGTTTCACACAAGTTCAAGTGCCCAGAGCTCCTTCAACTCCTACTGCACTGTTTCCCAGCAGCAGGATTTCTCCAGCACTGTGAGACAGAGACAGCCTCTCAAGTACCCTCTAACCAGACCTGATGCGAAGGGGAAGTCTGACATGGAGCTGGCGGTGGGTTTGGGACATCTTTGGCATCAGACTTAAGTGGGACATACGGTGCAGCCCCACAACATGCCATCAGGCTGTGGTTCTGCTTGGTGTGCAATGCCTTATGCCAACCATGTCATAGCCTCTGTGGTAACCCAAGTCTGGGCTGATGTCTGTCCTCAGGCAGGCAGGAGTCTGGGAAAAAAGCACAGCCCAAAATGATGCCCTGAGTGACGTACTTTAGGATAAGCTGGAGGAGCAGGTCATCATAGTCTTCCCTGAATGGATCTCCTCCCCTTTTTCTTTTATTTACGTTTTTAAACCAAACTCTTAATGGTGTGACTGGGTTTTTTTAAGTCTAATTTGCTGTTGGAATTCCTGTCTCATAGGAAATTGAGATGAAAATACAGTATTTCCTCCCCTTAGATCTGAGAGTGGTCTTTCCTCAAGCAGTTTGAGATGCCAGACTCTTCCTTGGTGTCTAGAGACTGTGTGTCCTTGACCTGTTGGGTCAATATGTCTAGTCACCGACTCAGGTAGACCCATACATGCTTCAGAAAGGCTCCTTCCCTTCTTTCTGAGAAGGAGACATGCTGGTGTCAGTTGGGTTTGTCTTTTTTTAGTATATGAACTTGAGCTGTTCAGGATGACACAACAGTGTCACCTGCCTGACCCAACAACACTGGGGTGGCTGGCACTCCCAGCATCTCTCCTAACCTACAGCCTTCTCCTGGGGTCACATCTCCCTGTCTGGGTATTGCCAAGGGTAGTCCTCCTGCAGGATACTCAGGCTGTCCCCTGGGCCAGCTGGAACAAGCTTGTGTTTCTCTTGGGACATAGAGTGGTCCTGTAGCAGCTAAAGTGGGACGCTAGTTTCTAAGTCCAGCCTAAAACCCACTAGGATGTGGAGTTTATACTCCCAGGACCTGGTGATAAGAGCTTGGGCATTATTTTCAAAATACAGGCTATTGCCTGAATATGCAATTTTTAGTCCTGGCGCTGCAGTACGGAAGGTAGAGACTGATGCAGAATGAAGGCCCCATGTGCCAGGTAGAAGATAAGACCTAATCCTTGCTTTGAAAAAAGCATCATCTACATAAGCTAAATGGATGCAGCCAAGTCCCATCCCATTTTCTGAGCACAGATCTAAGCACACAGAGAACCTGATTTCCCCACTGGTGCATGCTGAACCTCTGTCCCCCAGGATGCCTTAATATCCTGATCAGCTGTTCTCCAATGTTAAAGAGATGGATTTAACCCAAAAGGATTGGCTTGGTCCTGAAAACCAGTCATGCAGCACACCGTTCCTCAATAGCTCAGGGGGAGAACAAGTCATCTGCTGCCAAATATTGACGGGAATGCGAGTGCATTGTTCCTGCTGGGAGGGTTGTGCCTGAGCTTTTAATCGTGCCGTGACTACTGAACGTTACGTCTCAATGGGGACAGTCATAGGCTTGATCCTCAGAAGCCAAGAGCCAGGATTGTCCACCCCTGCTTTTCCAGCAGGGAACAGAGCACACCCCACCCCATGAGCCATCTGCACCTGGCCTCACATTATCTTGCCCAGTGAATACCCAGGTTTACACCAGCCGCCCCATTTACTGTACCATCTGCAGAACTCCATGCACATGACAATTTGATAACTCACTCTCTTAAATGTCTCCACGGATGCAAAGAAGATAAAACTTTTCATTATATGTCCCCTTGAGTGGTAGGGTGCTTGGCCCTGACCCTCAGAGCTGTCTTCAAGGGTCTGCTCCTTCTTCAACCAACTCTGTTTAGGTCTTGGCTTCAAGTCCACTCAGACAAGGATCTGCCCAAGGAGAAGGAGGATGAGACCCCTTGTTTATGGAGACAACGTCTTCATCTGGTTGGCTCAGCACTTTTTTGTTTTGGGAAACTATTTTTACCCACCATCAATGACGAATAACATTGTTTTGGGGGGTGGTGGCTTTTTTTTCTTTTTTCCGCTCTTTCTTGGATTTATTTTTAGGTTCCTTTGGGAGGGAGAAGAAGTGGAGTGCAAATTGAAAGCTTAGAGGACAGGAGACAGAGATCAAGGGAGAGCGGGGAGATGGGATTTAGTTCTCTAAGCCTCTGACCACCTTACTGCTTATGGGGCTTAGCAATGCATTGAGGAAATTTATAGGGGGAACAGGGAAGAACATTCAGGAGGTTATGGGCTTTCTCCTTCAGAGAAATGCAGGGGAAGGTCATGCTAATAGTTCTTCCAGAGAGCTGGAGTAGGATTTAGGGTGGCAGACTTTCTCATGGGTCTTGATTGTGCTACAACCCACCTATCTTCAACACAATTACAAGACAACTGCTTTGGGGCAGGAAACATCTTTCACTTCTGCTCATCCAGTGCTTAGCAATGCAGGCCTTGATGCCGTAGTGATCCAGGTAATTATTCATACTCGCCCCATCTTTTATTTCAAAGGAAAGTGGTCCTAGACCTTATGGTTGAGGGCTTGCATTCATGACCTTGAAAGATTCCCAGAAAATAGCCATGTTAAAATAATGCAGAATGCTGAGGGATTCTTATTCCTTGTGTCTTTTTCAAGCTAGTTCCCTAGTTCTGAAGGGTCATAATAAATGGTTTTTGAACTAGTGATGCTGCATATATACCGTTGTGGTCCACCTTCATAAGCTTCTCAGTGCTCACTTTTAGCATTGAGAAAGATGATGAATTACCAACCCAAAGACCCAAAAGTGCTCTGCCAACCATAGGGTCAGCCTGGTGCCTGGAGAAGAGAAAAAGCAGCCATCCAACCTCCCTGAGCTTTCAATCCTATTCACACCAGGGAAAGCACCCACCTCTCTTGATCCCACATACCCTTACACCACCCTGCTGCCTCCTCTTGCCTCCTCTTACCCTCTCTTGCTTCCTCTTACCCCCTCTTTGACTTTTTTCACTTCTTGCTCTCCATCCCTACTTGTCATTAAGGAGAGAAACAGTCACACCTACACAACTTTCTCCAGACAAATGAACAGCAGGCTCATCAGTAGCTCCCACAGCAGACAGCAATGTGTATCCAAGGGGTTTCATTGCTTCTCCCGAGTTGTGCTCTGCACAACTGCAAGTTGCCCAGGTTTGCCCAAGACCTCCAGAAAAGCTGAGGAGAGCTGACCGTGGCTCTGCCTCTCCTGCAAACATCTTAATCGCATGGGAACATCACTCTCACCCTGGCTCTGCTTCTGTTCCTTAGCAACTTCTTGGAGAGAGACCTGGGTCTCGTTACAGGTAGCTGTAGCACTAATAAAAATCCCTCTTTACTTTGGCAGGGCCCAACATCACTGGCTGTGATAAATCCCAAACCAAAGGGCAATTTGTCCTTTTTTAACCAGTGCAGCCACCTTCAGACAGATTAAACTGGCCTTCTGCAAACTGGAGCCCCTCCAGCCTGGGAGCGCAGTGGCTGCATGAGAAATCCCCTTGCATCACACCAACCCACGGGGATGAACACGAGGTGGATGCCACTATGCAGGAGCCAAACCTGCCTGAGAACAGCTGAGTGAATTACCATACTTATTTCTTAGCTCAGCACTTTGCAGGCAGGCTTAAGGCATTTCCAGAGGATTTCCCTTCCCCTGCAGGTACTGCTTGCACAAACTTTTGTTTTACCCAGCCTGTTTTCAGTACTCTGGGATTTCTCTGCTCCCCTTCCCCAGCACTCCAGCCAAACTGGATGCTGCCTCAAAGCCACCTGCACTGGGCCAGGCTCTGCCACTGCGAGGTGACATGGCATGTCCTCATGTCCTCACCCTCCCCATGCAACGGCTGTGTCCTCCCAAATGACCTGCAAGCTGTTCCGATGCAGCACCAGCTGATCTCCAGTATCACATCCCTCAGGGGATGCTACCACAGCACCCCAGAATGGGTTACCATGCAGCTCCCAGGGCTGTTTGCAATGGGAGACAGCAAGCATTTCTCTGATCCTATGCCAAGCCTGGGCACAGCCAGATTGTGACATGCCCCCCTCCTCCCCTAAAGCAGACACATGCCCTGCGTCCTGTTTGCTCAGTGCTGGCAGGATTTATTGCCCCACTTGCAGGATTTATCTCAATTGCATCTACCTCCCACAGCCAGAGCACTTTTTCCCCCGTGGCACTGCATCACTCCCACCTCCCCTCGCCACACTGTCCCCATCATCCCCAAATGTCCCTGCCAGGCTTGCTTAAGGTTTTTCTCCCAGACCCATGGGAGCAAACCCACAACCCGGGCTGCCGCAAGACCCCACTGCTAAGGACTCTGTGGGTGATGCTGGGAAGAACGGGGCCGAGCATCCCTCTGAGTATGCCAGGGAAGCTGCTCGGCCGGATCTGGGAGATGTCCTTCTCCAGCGAGGTTCTTCCAGGATGCTCCAAGCAGGAGGTGACGTCCCTGTAGCGGGGACACGAGAAGGGAAGGAGCTCTCCTGTGTGAAGCATGTTTGAGGGGAGAAGGGAGGCTGCAGGCTGACCTTCCCAGCCCCTAACTCTGCCTCTCGGGCACCCCTAGCCCATGGGTGCCTCCCCCCCCACCAGCTCCCTCCCCTCCTCCCGCAACTCCAGCGCCGAGGAAGCCCAGCCGGCGG